GATTGCAAGCAGTTGTACGTCTTGATAGACCCCTTCTGGTTATTAGACGGTGGGGAGGTTGATGTGGTGGAGGGCAGCAATAGCGATAACACTTAGACTTCTATACCGTTTTACAGTGCTTTACAGCTCTCTCTAAGCGGTTTACAGAGTCAGCATCAGTGGTGGGATTCAGCCAGCTCGCACCTATTCGGGAGAAACCGATTGTTAACTTTCCAAGCAATCAGGAGAATTGGTTGTTGGAAGAAATCTCCTTTTGGTTTTTTCCACTTTACAGGGCTAATCCTGTAAGGAAGGCAGGAAGTTGTGGTGTTGTTTCTAGCCTGATCTTTATTGCCCTGCTTACAGAAACTGCCTCTCTGGTTAACCCTTATTACATTGTAACAGCTAAGGTGAAGCGCCCATCAACATGAGTGACATTGAGTTGGCCACACCCACCCAGTGACATGACCACCAAGCCACGCCTACCTAGCTGGTCATTAGGGCAGAGAACCGGTTGCTAAATTATAGTCAAATGGTTGTCCAATCTCTTCTTTAAAAATCACCAATGTTGGAACACACACAACTTCTGGAGACAAGTTGTTCCACAGACACACACACAGACACACACACATACTCTTATGGTATATAATCACGTTAAAAGATTAAAAACTATTAAATTTCAGCTAAAAATAAATGCCAAAAATGATGCTTAACACAATGTAAATTTATCAAATAAAATCATACATTATAATAAATTTATTGCATCTGCAACTCCTCGTTGTGTCTTCAAAGGAGCAACGACAAGATCGCGGAGTGCTCAAACAGCCGCACGGCGGCTGAGACGGGCCTTCAAATTGAAGGCGGTTAGTGTCTTTGGAAGAGGTGATCAATCAGCCGCAAAATGGCTACACGCCTTCCCAACAATTAGCCTAATGAACTAACTAGAAAAGGCAAACAGATGATAACTATTTCTCTTTCTCTGCTCAGTGACTGAGGAGAGAGCAAAAGTCACAGCTTATGGGCTTGACTGAGTTGAGAAACTGGAGGCAGTCACGCCCAGCAGGCGTGGCCAAAGACTTCAAAGTAACTCAATCACCGGGCAGACAAACAGAAGTTGAACCCATGCTTGGATTCTCCAAGCAGCGCACAGGGGAATCGATGCTTAACACAATGTAAATTATCAAAATAAAAATTATATATTATAATAAGTTTATTGCATTAAATTCAATCCAGTTTGGAGTATGCTATCAATCAACAGTACACATTCATAGGAGAAAGCATACTGGTCCATACCAACTTGCAATGCTCGTGGTCTCTCTTTTTTTATTGTATAAAATACAAAAGAAAAAAATAGGAAATTAAGGGAATGGGAAAAGGTGTGTGAAATACAAGGAGGAAGAGAGAAAGAAAGAAAAGAGCCGAGGGGGCGCAGTGGTTAAATGCAGCACTGCAGGCTACTTCAGCTGACTGCAGTTCTGCAGTTNATGTCACTCACGTCGATGGGCGCTTCGCGTTGGCTGTTCCAATGCAATAAGGGTTAACCGGAGAGGCAGTTTCTCTAAGCAGGGCAATAAAGATGAGGCTAGAAACAACACCAGAATGTTTCCTTCCTGCCTTCCTTACAGGATTAGCCCTGCAAAGTGGGGGGGAAATCAAAAGGAGATTTCTTCCAACAACCGGTTCTCCGGACTGCTTAGAAAGTTACCAACCGGTTCTCCCGGATAGGCGCGAACCGGCTGAATCCCACCACTGCACTAGCGCCTTGCTGTTCAAGGCAAGCGGGCAGGAAAAATCCACCACCATCTTGGTTCTTGTTCCTCTCTTCGTTCAACTTATTTTTATGCAAGTGAAAGAGGGGAAAAAAAGAGATAGGCCATTTCTTATCAAATTAAAAAGACGATGTCCCAAAGGTGCTTTTTTTCAAGAGGTAACTGGCCTCTCTTGTTTTTCTTTGAAGAGGTTTCACTTCTCAACCAAGGAGCCTCTTCAGGTTCAGCAAGAAGGTCCGTTGCCTCTTGACCTGGATGACTGAGAATCTCCATAGATGTTTAAAAATTCTGTGTTTCTGTTTTTTTCTTTTCCTCCCAAAAAGACAGGCAGTTGTGAGAAGAAGACTCACTCGCTCTCCAACTCTGTTTATTATTATGCTTGTATCCTGTTTTTTGTGCAGTAGGTCAGGATGGCAACCTATCTTCCACTACAGCAGAACCCTGGAGGGCAGACTGAGTTGAAAAACAGTGAGAAGTCCAAAATTACCCAGTGTTCTTCCATGGATGAAGCTAGACTAGAATGTGGGCTTTTTTCTTCTTCTTTTAATCCAACACCTTAAACATTCACTGTCAAAATAATTGATGTTAAAAACGGCCAGGATGACATAATGGAAGAAGATTTGGAAAGCACAATTCACTTACATTAGTTGCACAGATACTGTCCAGATGAGATTTGCTAACTCTTCATCTGATTCCACAATTATTAGCAGATATACAGACAATCGTGTCTTTGGAGGCAAGCATTTTCACCTTTTTTTTAAACACAGCAAGCTCTTGTTACAAGATACTAAAAACAGGTGAGACAAGATTTTTCTCCTGGTAAGTTGGCAGTTCGCAAAGAAGTAACAAATGATCCCTGTTTACCATGGCAAGCATCGACAAACCAGTCACCTAGATATCAAATATAGCACGATTCGAGCACGCCCCACTGAGTTTAGCGGAGTTTACCGATTCAAGCGTGCTTAAAAATCCCCCTTAATTATTAGTAAGAACTATGGTTAATTTGGAAAACTACACAGCTCTCAACATGCTGTTACAAAGATTGATTCTTTTTCAAATATTATTTTTATCTTTAATTTGTGGGGGGGGAGCACACAAAACCCCAAGACGAATCAAAACTTGCGTTTAAGAAAGCATTAAGAAAATAGCCTTTTTTAGCACCGAGATATTTTTGTTTGCTTCTGCTCAATAGATTACTTTATTTAAGAGCCAGCATTATAAATGTTTACCATATATTATATGCTATAGACGGAGATATATTAATATCGCACTGTTAAACAAATTAAATCTAATAATTAAATAGAAAACAGAGTCACTGGAAAGCCCAAAGTTCCCTCTCTGTTTTTAATTACAGTAGCATTAGTCAGAACACCTTCCCAAAATGGAATCGTATAAACCAGATTAATTAACCAGATGCATTAGATTTGCCATATCCTCAAAAGCCAAAGCTCTCAGGCTAGATCTCTCACTCAGCAGGCAAAATCTTAATATTTGATTTGCTTTTTTTAATTGAACATATCAAAGAAAACATATAAACATAAAAGAATAAATTTAGGGTAAAACAGCTAAACAAACCAGGGATTTTAAAACATCATGGAGATTATAGCTTTCAAATATACCATTAATTTATTGTAAACGGTTACGGATGTTTTCACAGAATAACAGAGTTGGAAGGGTCCTTGGGAGGTTTTCTAGCCCAAACTCCCTGCTCAAGCAGAAAATCCTACATCCAGTGGTGGGATTCAGCCAGTTCGCACCTATTCGGGAGAGCCGGTTGGTAGCTTTCTAAGCAGTTGGAAGAACCGGTTGTTGGAAGATATCTCATTTTGTGCTTTTTCCCATTTTACAGNTTTATGAGAAATACAAAAAACTTTCTATGTTGTGGCCTTTTGATAGTTTTTTTTTTCAAAAAGATTATCTCAATCAATTTTACATGTTATCTGATTTTTAGGCTCCACGTATGGGTACTTTCATTGGTGTATATTTACCCTGTTTACAAAATATTTTGGGAGTTATTCTATTTCTGCGACTGACATGGATTGTGGGAACAGCAGGCGTTCTTGAATCATTCATTATTGTATTCATATGCTGTGCTGGTGTAAGTATGATATATGCTTTCTTTGATATTTGCTGAACTGTATTCTACATTCTAATAATTTTTCTGTTCTGTCGTGATAATTTTACAAGTAGCTGGACAGGCTATTTATAGCGTAAGGCTTGTAGTAATAGAGGCACGCTGTTCTGTTCCTGTGTAGCCATATTTCTTAGAAGCGGTACTATTGACAGGTTAAAGCAGTATTAGAATGCAGTATTGCATCCCACAGCCTGGAGTTCAGTCCCGATGGGGCTCAAGATTCACTCAGCCTTGCATTCTTCCAAGATCAGTAAAATGAGGACCCAGATTGTTGGGGGCAATATGCTGATATTGTAAACCAGATCTAATGCAGGGGTGTCAAACTGGCGGCCCACGGGCCAGATGTGTCCTGCGCAGGCCATGCCCACCCCAGCTCCGCAAAGGAGAAAAATGTTGCAAAACACCATGTGATGGCAATGTGATGCAGTGAGTTTGACACCCGTGACCTAGTGGATAAAAACAGTTGTGTTTTAAATATTAAATATTTAAAACTATCATTATACTATAAAATTGTATTAGATTTAAAAATAATTTCAATTTTCCCCCAAATGCATTTCCATTCAATGATTAGAAATGATTTAAAATAATATTTTCCAAATATCTGCTGAAAATTGTCTAGCAAGTTTGCTTGTTAACCAATTGTTGAATATTTTACTTTCTTTGCCCGGAAGGAAACATAATATTATACCAATTACTTTTAAATGCATTAGGATTTTGTAATATACCCTGAAGTTCATTTATTTATTAATTCAGGATATTCAAAATACATAATAATTGTTAATCTGCTTGACTTGCATTAAGTTCACGAAGCTTGTAATTTTTCTCTCTAATTTTATCCTTAATATTGACACTGAAAGTGAAACCCTTGTTTACTCTGGAGGTAATTCATCCACAGAGATAATAAATAGGATATGAAGACAAAGGAAACTCTTTCTCAACAGCTGATTGACTTGATTTATTTCCAATTGTTCTTGCTTCAAATAGCAACATTTCTTAGCGGCTTATACACTCTGAGTTATTTCCGATGTTGAGAGCCAATAGATACTGGTAGTGCAAAATCTGGGCTAAATTTGCAAATAGGTCACCTTCAGAATTAAATTTCTAGGCTGTCCAATTCCAGAATTACTCTTGGCAGCTTCACAAATGAATAACATTAGACAAAAAATAGAATACATAAAAGCAATCTCCATACGAGGAAGCAGGAACCATCTTTCCACATCCCCCACACCAACATCCTAACCCCAAGTCTGTGGAAAAAGCCCATCTTAAAAAAGATTTCTCATAAATAGCCGTGTTATGGGTCATATAGAGAACAGAAGCAGCTGCGACGAGGAAAAAACTGCCTCTGAAGGCCAGCCAAATAACACTACTTTGTCAGTTGGTCCAAACCAGGCTGACCAAATCAAGCTGGAATGCATAAGATGGGCAGACAATGTAGGAGACAAGCAGTCTCTTAAAATAGCAAGGGCTTCATGTGAATCAGCCCTTCAAGTAGGCCAGATCAGAAAAGTTGAAGTCTACTGGCATTCTAAAAGTCTACGGAGATTCTCAGTCATCCAGGTCCTTGTTTGTCCCAAAGGTGCTTTTTCAGGAGTCAACTGGACTTTCTTGTTTTTTCTTTGAAGATGTTTTTATTTGTCATCCGAAGCAAAATTTCTTCAAAGAGAAAATGAAAAGTCCAGTTGCCTCCTGAAAAAGCAAATTTTGAGACTTCTGGAATTCTACTTGATTGTTGCAAGATGTAATAAAAATCTTGAAAACCTAGTTTCCACTCTTATATCAAGACAATCAAGATGTGGCAATCTTGAGTTTCTTTCTCACCCCCCCCCTCCTCCCTTTCCAGGCTAACCTGGTATTCAGGTAATGGTTATTGAAGACCTAATTCAAGGTCATCTCCATAACCAGCACCTTGAATTACAGTCAGAAGCCAGTTAGTATCCAATACAACTCACACAGCAGGGATATTATATAGGCATGATGGGGTTTGTCCATGCTCTGATTATTCAGCAATAGCTTCCAAGTGACCTTCAATGGCAAATCCATTGCACTAGAAAGCATATATTGCTTTCTACTATATTGTTCAGTTTTTTTGTACATTTTTAATTCTAAAGATTTGAACATGGCTTTCTTGTTAGCAGGTAAGGCTTGTTTTAAGCTTTCTGGTGCAAAGAGTGATACGTATCTTGCAGCAAAATGTTTCTCATTGTGCCAAAGTTGGTGCGTATGTGTGTATGTGGGCATTTTACAGCCATGAGATATTCCGATCTGTTCCACTTGTTCTAAGAGCTACGTTGACTGAATAAATGTGGCTTCATTGGTTTCCCTTTACTGCTCTGTGCTTCAAAATGAACTGTTACAGTCTATATAAATAACTAGAAGGGAGAAGACATAAATAATGTATAGTATTTCTTCTTCTCATAACATGGATATAGTGACTGAGCCCTTTTCCAGACAGTCAATAACATTTTTAAAAAAATGCTACTATAAAAAGTATTCCTGGATGCTGCCGCCACACGGATCTTGCTGTCTTGGTGAAGAATGTAAGTTTCTACTGCTCTACTATTCTATTTATATGGTTTTTGATTTTTATAAAATTGAGTATTGTTTTCCACTGTGCAGCTGGGTGAATCCTTTTATATCTTGCAAAGTCATCATTCTTTATTTCTTAATAACATTTATTATTATCCTTTGTTTCTGTAGACTATGCTGACTGCGATATCAATGAGTGCAATAGCAACAAATGGTGTAGTTCCAGGTAATAACAAAATATAATTGCTTAAGCCTTAAGATATTGCGTGCACTTTATAAACAGTCCTCCATTACTGGTGAAATATTGATCACTGTGATTAAATGAGACTCAGGAAGGCAAGGAGGAAGAAATTGCTTAACACATATAATGTCAGATAATAATGCTTTCATGTAGAAAATTTGCTAAGACATAATGAATAGAACAAACAATACAGGCCACGCAAAGGACAGTGGGAGTTTTGGAAAATAACTAAATTAGGGATCCAATTCTTCCAAAAATCAGAAACTAACAATGGCTACGGCGTATAAAGAAAACCTTTATAAGATGTTCTACAGATGGCATCTCCCTCCAGCACGGCTCTCCAAAATGTTTAAAAATCTGGCCCCAAATTGTTGGAATTGTAAACAAAACACCAGGCACTTTTTATCATATGTGGTGGCCGTGCAATGAGGCAAAAAAAATATATTGGAAAATGATTCAATCGTGGTTAGAACAAATGGTGGGAGACCAAATCTTGTTTAAACCGGAAGCTTTTCTCCTAGGTA